CAGTTACATCATCACACCTGTGCAGAGACAACTGAGCAGGAGGAGTTTGAAATATAATGAAAATATMTAGTGTTTATAAACACGTATAGAGAATAAATCCTCAACATTTCCCCTCCCGCTGTAGAAAAGTTACKTTGTGTCACGGGATCATTTCCTGCTGCCAGGGTTCATGTCGGGTCTTAAAAAGTCTAAAAAGGTCTAAAATTTGAAAATCTAAATTTTAGGCCTAAAAAAGTCTTAAAAACATCCAGATTTTCATCCAAGGTCTTAAATTTAATTTTGTCAAGTCTTAATTTTTTCTACTTTTAATCATTCCCGAGAACCATTGGCTGCATAAATAAAGAAAGCTAAGAGTCGTAATCAGAGGTTGACCTGATCTGTCTTCATGAAGTGCTAAACGTTTGCTACTGGTCATGATTAAACTACAAATCCCATGATGACTGCAGGCAAACATGGCCCATGTTTTTGACCTCTTTGCTGCTACAACCCACCACAAACAGTGGCTTATTTACTTGCTCAACAAACAGAAGTGCAGTCATGTCCACTGCTTGTTGTTTAAACATGGAAAAGTGTGTTTTCAATGAGACTTGACTTGATATCAGTGATTTTTTTTCACTCTGTTGAAAGTGGTTCACAGCAGTCAGAAAGGACCGTTTCATTCAAATGATTTAGTGTTCTTGTAGTAAAACTAAATATTATTTAATGACTAAACTGATAGCAATGAAAGGTTTCTATTATAAAATTTCTCGAGGACCATTTGAATGTTTCTGTTAATGTGTCTATTTGGTCTTAAATGTCATTACTAATGGTCTTAAAAGGTCTTAAGTTTAACTTACTGAAACCTGCATGAACGCTGTGCTGAACGTCGCGCAGAGGAAGCTTTGACACTCGTAGTTTTTACACACCCAAGTTGTCGGAGAAAAAACTTGTTTTTTATGTATTGTTACCCACAGAGATGATAAAAAAAGACGTGGACGTTCGTTCAGTCATAAATCCATCTTACTAATGTAACAGTTCTGCTCTGAGAGCAGCAGAGGGTCAGTTCAACAGGCAGAAGCTCACTGTATGGCAGGCAGATGTTACATTTATTTGGCTTCACCACACTTAGATTCCAGTTACCTGAAATTGTTTAATGACTATATGTGCAGCTTAAGGTCCTGTCACACTATAACATTTTAGCCAACAATTAGTTTTTTTATGTCTAAATGACTAATTTTATTTGAAGTACTGGTTATAACGTCCACTTTATTTTGATATTGTTGAAAATTTGAGAAATCTTTGTGTTTGTTGTTGAAACAGTTTTGCAATAGATAAAACATTCTTTTGWACTTCTGTTATGTTCATTTGCACCACAGTAAAAATGCTGGGTTTGATTATGATTGCAGTTTTCTGCAAAATAAATGCTCTAAAAATTACATTATCTTTGCTTTTTATGATCATTTTCTACTGCGATATATACTGTTACCATGAAGGGATTCAATTTATACCGTGATATGAATATGAGGTCATACCGTCTAGTTGATGGCATCAAACTGCCTCACTGTTTGGTCAGCTAGCTTCAACCTGTCATGTAGCAGCAGCAGTTTCATGACTGCTTCAAAATAAAAACAGAATGACATGGAGTGGGAGGAGAAATTARGTGCAACAGCTCAGGAGGAAGTTGTGGCTGAAGCCTGATCACGTCACCATCAGCTTTTTTCTCCTGATATTTGTTTCAAATACTAAACAAAAACCTAATCAATAGTTATCAATATCAACCGATGTGAAAAGCTTCTATTGTGATACATTTTCCAGTCATATCGCCCAGCCCTACTGYTGATGACAATTATTTGACACCATCTCCTCCAAAATGGTCCAAACGTTCTTTAAAACTGATTTAAAATCTTTTGGGRGGTTCTTYAGTTCTTTGTGTAAATCWGAGTTTTGTCACTTAAACTGTGAACGTGTTTAAAATCTCTTTAAAACTTCTTCAATAGTCACAGTTGTCCTGGGTGTTATGGTACTTATTTTTTTATATGTCTGCAGAGCCTCAAGGTCCTTTTGCAGCACCCAGAGGACAACAGGAACCAGATCCGAGAACTGGCCCAGACGCTGATGGATGGTGGAGTTCTRGATGAGCTGATTCAGCAGAAACTGGACGCATTCAACACACGATGGGATGAAATCATGGCGAGGGTAGGAGCCGCTGTRGAACTCTTACCTTGCTCATTTTCTTGGTTCCCAAACCATTTCCTWAGAGATCCTGAAGGGTTTGGATGATGACCTGTTTCAGGTTACTTTGGTTTGTTTTAGTTTTATGATTTTAGTTTCGTCACCAGACACAGGTGTACTGTTCCAKTCAGACTAACCTGTAATAAATGTTGAACTCCGATAGAGTTGAACAAACTGTTATCATGTGTTTGTCTCTCACATCACAGTCTTATTGGAGCTTATTTAGAGGCTGGTTTCTTTGGTTCTGCTCTGACTTGTTGGTGTCTAAACATAGACCCTGTGTGATGCTCATTAACAAGACGTTGGGTAAGAAGCTAAGGCAGGACCAGGACCAGGACCAGGACCTAGATGATGGATGATGGATGACTAAACAAAAAAATATACCGTATTTATTCAAGTATAATATGTAAAATTTAATCCATAAAATCATCCATAAAGTTGGGGGGTAGTACTATAC